ATACTTTTCAAAAGAAGACAAATATGCGGCCCACAAACATATGAAAAAATGCTCATCATCGCTGGTCATTAGAGAAATGCAAACCAAAACCACATTGAGATACCATCTCATGCCACTTAGAATAGTGATCACTAAAAAATCTGGAGACAACAGATGCTGGAGAGGATGTAGAGAAAAAGGAACACTTACACTGTTGGTGGGAGTGTAAATTAGTTCAACCATTATAGAAGACAGTGTGGCGATTCGTCAAGGATCTGGAAATAGAAATTCCATTTGACCCAGCAATCCCATTACTGGGTATATACCCAAAAGATTATAACTCATTCTATCATAAAGACACATGCACACGTATGTTCATTGTGGTGCTGTTTACAATAGCAAAGACCTGGAACCAACCCAAATGCCCATCGATTAGAGGCTGGACAAAAAAAAAAAAATGTGGCACATATACACCATGGAATACTCTGCAGCCATAAAAAACTATGAGTTCGTGTCCTTTGTAGAGACATGGATGAAACTAGAAACTATGATTCGCAGCAAACTGACACAAGAACAGAAAACCAAACACTGCACGTTTTCACTCATAGGCGGGTGATGAACAATGAGAACACTTGGGCACAGGGAAGTAAACAACACTCACAGGGCTAGAGGGGAGGGGAGGGGAGGGGAGGGACAGTGGGCGGGGGGCAGTGGAGAGGATGGGGAGGGATAACACTGGGAGAAATGCCTGACCTAGGCGATGGGGCAGGTGGGTAGGGATGGAGACAGCAAACCACTATGGCATGTATGTACCTATGTAACAATCCTGCAGGATGCAGGACATGCACATGTACCCCAGAGCCCATATACAACTAAATTTAAAAAAAAAAAAAAAAGATCAGTGGTTAATAAAGGCTCAGGAGAAGAAGAGGGAGGGATAAATACATGAAGCACTGGGATTCTTATGGCTATGAAACTATTCTATATGATAATACAATTGTGGATACATAACATTATGGATCCATCAAAACTCACTGAACTTCCGAAAACAAAAAGTGATCCTTAATGTATATACATTTTTAAAAACCATTTGAGAGGTCAGAGGAATACCAAAATAGAATATAGAATGTAACAAAACACTCTAAGTTTATTACAAATTTATGAAACAATCTCACTGAAGGAGATGGTGGCAAAGGTGCTGACCTAAGTAACTTTGAAAATGAGTAGAGACTGTGAAATTAACGGCAGCAAAGGAACAACCAACAAAGCTACATAATCACTGTGCTCTAGTTGATAAAGTTGTTTCTTGTGGGGGAATGGGTTAACAATTCTGAAGCCACTTTATATGTATACTGGAATTAAACAATTCAAGTAAGAAGAGAGCCGATGGTGGGAGTCACGTTTCTCAGTTGGAATAGAAGTTTACAGATATGCAAAGGAAGATGTTAGAATAATCTACGTGGTAATGGATTGAACATCAATAGGAACTCGTTTCATTTAATGGAAATACAGATGTTACATATTTACACTTAGGCATAAATGCATAGGTTGGTATGCACACATGTATCTCCTTAATCTGCCTGCTGAAAAGGCCTAGAGGCAATGAAACATCAGTAGCAAAAAGCGAACCTAGTGGCCAGACCTTGGTTTATACCATTCTTCAAGGAACCAGGCTCCTTGGCAAAATGCCTGATTCTAGAACTGGGGAAGGAAATATACAACACAAGCCTGAAACATCTTTGTAGTGCCAGAAAGGAAGTGTTCAAAAGCAAACAAACAACAACAACAAAGAAAAAAACCCACAATGACAATGATGGGAATACGTCAAAGGGACACAGGAGTCTAACTGAAAATGCTACCAAAGTCTGAAACTGGAACAATTTCAACAAAATATAGTATTAAAGGATAAAGCAAGGTATAAAATGAGTCAAGCTCATAAAAATAAGTGAATAAATGGGGGAGAAGAAACATCTCCCATGCAGAATTCCAATTATGTAGATACTCTATCCGCAAGGAGGTGCAGCATAACATTATCACTCCTTAAGCATGGGCTGTGCAGAGTGACTTCCTTTCAAAAAGTACAGTATGGAAAGGGGGGGAAAAAGAGAGTACATTGGGGAAATCTGACCAACACTACCTTAGCCAGGTGATCAAGATTAACATCAATAGTAATAATACATTTGTCCTTGATGTGATGAGAATAGCACCTTACCTTAGTGGTCTTCCTCCAAAAACATACACAACTTTATTTCCCTGAAATAAAATTTCAGGGAAAATATCAATATATTTTAGATTTGGACAAAATGATATGAAAGCTTATTTGAAAAATCATGTAAGAATAACTAGAAAAAAATCCTGAACAATGAGGTATGGACTGGTTTAATAACCAAAAAATCATCAGACAAATCCCAGTAGGGGAAGATTCTACAAAATACCTGACCAACACTCCTGAAGACTGTCAAGATCATCAAAAACAAGGGAAGTCTAAGAAACTGTCACAACCAAGAGATGCCAAGACATGATGACTAAACATGATGTGGTCCCCTTGATGGAATCCCAGAACACAAAAAGGACACTAGGAAAAACCAACAGAAATCTGAATAAAGTATGGACTTTAGTTAATAAAAATGTATTGATATTGCCTGATTGTGTCAAATGCCTCATGCTAACATATTAATAGGGGAAACTGAGTGTGGGGTATGTGGGAATTCTCTGTACTATCTTCCCATTTTCTCCATAAATCTAAAAGTTCTAAAAAATATTGTTTAGAAAATGCCAATTTACAAAAGTGGTAGACTGTTGAAAAGAGACTACAGAGACACACTAATCAATGGAATTTGTCAACCTTGATGGGGACAGCGATAAAAGCTATTTGGGGGATACATGGGAAAATATGAATATGAAATATTAGGTGGTTAATCCTTTTTTCAGTTGTGAGAATGGAATTGTGGCTAAATGGGAGAATGCCCTTACTCCTGTAGGAGGGACAAGCTGACATATTTAGGGATATCCTGAAGTGTGATGATAAAGTCTGCAAATTAGCTCGAATGAATCAGGAGCGGGGAAAAAAGCACATTTGGAGAGAGCAAAAGCAACAGTGGTAAAATGTTAAAAATGGTGAACCTAAATGAAAAGTATACAGGGTCCATCCTACTATTCCTCCATATTTTCTGTAGATATGAAATTTTTCAAAATAAAATTTCAGGGAAAATATCAATATTTTAGATTTGGACAAAATGATATGAAAGCTTATCTGAAAAAAATAAACATGCAAGAATAACTAGAAAAAATCCTGAAGAAGAATGAGGTATGGACTAGCAATATCCAAGATTAAAATGTATAATGATTTAAAATAATTAAAAGACTGGTATTTTTTCAACAGACTACAGAGCCCAGAAGCATATCTGAACAGTATGAATGAGGATGATGGTTTTTCCAATCAGTGTGGAAAGTTAATAAATGGGGTTGGAATACTTAGCTATTCAAGGGAGAAAAATGTTGAATCCTTTCCTCACTCCTACTACCTAGACAATTCCAAATGAATCAAAGATTTAAAAGTTGAAGAAAAACCTTAAAAGTATTGGAAAAATACATTAAATTTATTCTTAAATGCAGAGGCAGCCTTTATAAGCAAGGCAAAATCTCAGAAGCCATAAAGACTAAGTTTAACTACATAAATAAAACTTAGGAAAATATTATTAAACATGACAATGGACCAATTTTCTTAGCTTACAGAAAACTCATACAAATCAATAAAAAACATACCACCTAAGAGAAAACAGAACATGACTACGGAGTTCACAGGAAATATAAGTAACTGATAAACATGAAAATGTGTTCCATCTGCTTCATTAAAATGCATTAGACCTTCATTAAAATGCAAGATACCATTTATTCACTTTCACATAATCAGTCTTCAAAATTTTAGTACCCAGTATTGGCATGGGTTTGGCAAATAATCATTCTCATACGTTGTATGTGGAAGTAAACTGGGCAAAGTTTCCTAGAGGAGAGTTCAGCAGTAACTACTGAACTGAAAATAAAAAATACCCTCTGATTCAGCAATTCTATTGCTAGGAACCCTGTAGAATATAAACTCATTATATGCACAAGTATATTCATCACAATGTCATTTAATAAAATATTGGAAACAATCTAAAGAGCCTATCAATGTTTGAACATTTGTAACACATTCAAACATTAGAATACCACACAGTCATTTAAAATAACAAGGTATTTCTATATATACTGATACAGAGTGATCTCATAAAACACAGGTAGCAAAAAAAAGCAAGGTACAGAAGAATAGAGTCTGATTCCATTCATGTGAAATTTTTTAAAGTACATATTTGCTGACAAATAAAAAATTGTTTTCCTGTGAGAACGTACAAGACACTTGAAACTGGTTACTTTTGCAGAGAATTATTAGGGTAGAAGGGAAGGGGCCAAGTTTCTATGCCTTTCTGTACCATCTGATTTTGTCATGTGCGTGTATTAGCTTTCTTGCCCCCAATCCCCTAAGAACACTTGCTTAGCAGGTTATTTTGAGACATTCCTAGGTAGGTTTGAATATTGGTGGTGTTATTTTTCAAAATACTGTAGGTAAGTGCCAAGTTTTGCAATTTAGAATGTCCCCTTGGATTTTCACTAAACTTTCTATTTGCTCCCTGGATGCTTTAATCATAACGAATTCCTATTAAGTATAAAGTGACATTTTTTAATGGCAGTTTGGCTATTTAACAAATTCATGATAGACTCATTAGACACTAATGCTCAGGAACCCATTTTTATACCCCAAAGGGCATTTGATGATTTATCAGTATCATCGAGATTATATATTCTATTAAAAACATAAAATTGTAGTAAGATTTTACATGCACATTGAATTTAGTAAAACAGCAACACAGTAGAAAAATACAGTCACAAAATTAGCTCTTACATTTTTCTGGGGACAGAAAAGCAGAAGAAATGAGATTTAAAGTCCAAAAAACCCAAAAAGAACCCAAAAAACGCTATCAAAAACAGGTGAGACAATCATTTATTTATTGGACAGGGCAAGGTCATTCAAGGGGAGGAAACATATTCCAAAAACATGTGTTTACCTTGGTGTTACAGGCATTGATGCTCACAACAAACAACATTACTCAAAACATCATGAAAACAGGCTACATACAACCAGGAAGATGCTCTCAAGCCACTGGGAAGCCACAATGCTTAGGAAATAATCATTAGAGAGTTACAAAGCATAATCGTCTCCAAGATTCACTGCTATGCATATTCTGCGGCTGCACAGTATTTGGCTGGTTCCCTGGTTATTGAGTCTTCCTAGATTTTAAAGAGCCTTGACTGGTACACACCTCTGAACATTAGTCAAGTGAAGGCTTAACTAGCTCACATTGTCCTATTTTTGAACGTTCCTAGGCAATAATTGACTGTCTCATAGTACTGTAAATAAATTCTGTACTTAGTACATTTAGCAATGTTACAACGCATCCAAATCACCTTTAAGTCCTATGGTACATACTTGAAAAAGACAGCAGAAACTCATTGGTTTCAAAGAAGAAATTTGGTGAGCTCACCTGGCCCAAGATATGCAAGCTGCTAGCAAAGATAGACACAACTGAAAACTACTTTGTCAATTATTTGCCAAGTGACTTGGCCTGATATTTAGCAGGACTCTCCCTGACTGTGCAGGCAAAGATTTCAACATCCGTTCTAGAGACTAGCCACCATACTATAAGTAGTAGTATATCATGAATGCTTCCTTATGAGGAAAAACTAATAGCATAAGATTCACAGAGAAAAAATCTGTTAGGTATGTGGCCCTCCTGCCTGAAATCTATTGATTTCTACCAACCACTCCCTTTCACAGCAATAACAGTTTTCAAGATGAGAATTCACTCCATATAGAAAACCACATTCGGGAAGCCAGTTCCAAAAGACCAAATATTGTAGAACTCCATTTACAGGAAATGACCAGAACTGGCAAATCTACAGAGAGATAAATAGATTAGTGGTTGCCGGGGGCTAGGAGGTGGGCACTGGGAGAAAATGAGAGGTGACTGCTCAAAGGTGCAGTGTTTCTTTTTGGGTTAACAAAATGTTCTCAAACTGACTGTGGTCACGGTTACACAACTTTGTGAATACACTAAAAACCACTGAATTGTACCGTTAAAATGGGTGAATTGTAAGGTATATGAATTTCATCTCAATAATGTTACAAACATATTAAGAAAGGAAGACAGCCCCCAAAGAGAAGGAAACAAGAGGCTCTTCCAAACCAAATCATACCTGAGGAAACAGTAGCCAAGTCTGATGGAATGAGCTTGTTTCTTGCATGCTGTTTTAAGTTATCATCACTTTAACCAGATTTCACATTTTAATTCATTTCTAAATTACTTTCAGTTATCAGATTTCTAACTTTGTTCTCATTAAAGAGCAGAATCAGTGCTCAACAGACTGGGTTGGCATAACAAACCAAAACTAAACAACAAGAATAAAAACCCAATGAAAAAATAACTTCATGCTTTGGGGCTATGTGTTACCAGTCAGAAGAGAAGAGCTGAGGCTCATTTCTAAAAGAAAAAAAAAAAAATGTCTACAAGTACAATGGCATCTTATGACTTGTGCTTAAAGCACATTTCCTTTTAAAACCCGCATACGGTTATTCCCTTTACACCTATACAATTCAAAAAAAGCAATGTTTTTACACCTGTACAATCCAACAAAAGCAACGTTCTCTACAAAGAAATGTTGAGCTTCCTACTGCTCTCTAGCTCCAAGAGCTAGCCAATTTCCTTGAAAATAAAATTACCATTTCTAAAAATATCAACTCTGTATCCTCATCCTCACTTTCAGCACCATATAGTGAAGATGGAAAACTCGAAGCCTGCTATAAGTCAGAAACTACAAAACAATTTCTTAAATGACCTGATTTTTCTCAAAACATTAGTCCAAATATTGAGAATATATTTGGCCCAAATTCCTTTGAAGTCTGTCTTTAGATTAATGGCAAGTTTCCTTTATTTCGCTTATTCACTACTTTAGTATGAAGTAAACAGATTTTAAATCAGTTAAACTGGCTAATGACAATTTTCCTCAATGATTTTTCTTCTACATAGGCAAGATAATGAAATCACAAAAGGTCTTCAACTAGTCTTCAACTACTCTTACACTATATAATCAATTAGGGAAATTTTTACAGACAAAGGAGAACACAAGTAGCTTTACAGCAAGTTGAGCTTGTTAAATATATTTGTTCTGACAAAGAATTTCTGACACAGACATTGCCCACTACACACAGAACCTCAGAGAAGTGATGAAACAAGACAGCCAATAGTAGAAGGCATATGGGAGCAGGTTGGGGTGAAAAGTCACACATAAATTAAAAACTGGCAAGTACTTCTAAAGCACAGCCACTTTTTAGGGGACACAAGAAAAACTGTTAAATCACCATTTTGGTCTCATTAGGGAAGTCCATTTGTTAAGAACTGAAGACCATTTTACCATAATTCATGCTGCAAAATGCAGTAGTCACAGAGTATTTCCAAAAGGATTTCAAACATTGTAGTGCAAAAGAAAAGACATCTACGAAAATAAATAATCACAAAAAACACCAATGGTTTTCAAGGAAATGTGTTCAAAACAGTGGCTTTTACAAAAGATGTGGATTTGTTTTAAACGAAAAAAAAATTCCCTATATGAAATACCAAAGACCCATTTCACATATAACTTATACTGCATAATGATTGAATTAATAGTATATAAACAAGGGGCATGGTTTTTCCTAAAGTAGGTCTGAAAAATCAATATAAATACTAATGGGGGGGGAAGGAGTGTTTTATACCCCAAACTCCGATATTTCAGCTCTGTGTCTTGTCCTATTTATCATAATTTGTAAAAATCTTAACGACGCAGCGATTCAAGTTTTCGTAACTTCAATGATGTGTTAGAGGACAATGCATCTTGATTTGAAGAATTTGCTGTATCCGAAGGCCGGAACAGTACTCGACCACGATGATTAAATACATAAAAGGATGGGTGATTTCTTAATGTATCAAATGTCCTTAAAAGAAAAAAAGCATCAATTTTAGATAAACCTTTATAAAACCCTACTTGAAAATAAGCAGACTTCTAACGAATCATCAATTTGCTACGGGTTATATTTTTTAACAGATATTAACACATAAAATCCGACTGTAAATAATATTCATACTGTATCTCTTTTCCTGTATAAAGTAATTAAGAAACCTGAAAAAGCAGCATAAAGCTCTCAAATTTCTTCTTTTTTTAAAAAAAAGTAATGGGGTCTCATTCTGTTGCTCAGGCTGCAGTGCAGTGGTGCAAACATAGCTCACTGCAGCCTCAAACTCCTGGACTCAAGTGACCCTCCTGTCTCAGCCCCCCAAGTGCTGTAACTACAGCTGTGCACCACCACGCATGGCTAATTTTTTTTTTTTTTTTTTTTTTTTTTTTGTAGAGACAGGGTCTCCCAATGCTGCCCAGGTGGTCTCAGACTCCTGGACTCAAGCAATTCTCCTATCTCAGCCTCCCAAAGAGCTGAGATTACAGGTGTGAGCCACCATGCCTGCTCCTAATTTGTTTTTTATTCAGCCATTCCTTCCAGGATGCCTATGAATTACAACACAAATACTAGCTCAACTTTAATTGTCCCTGTAAATCTAACAGTAGCCCATGCCGAATAGTCTTTTTTAAAAAGCAGCACACAGATTACAGCTTTGATTATTCTCATTCATTTGGCTCTCATTATTCAAGCCATATGATCATTTCACTGATCTGTTTTCTAAGAATCTTTCAAGTACAACAAAAAATTCCTTTTAGCCCTCTGCACCTGCTATTATCCAAACTCACATACTTTTCTACTACCTACCTAATGACATTTGTTTTACTTCTTTCTTTCCTGGCCCCTTGCCTGTGATTTTTGGTAGACTCTTTGTAAGAGTAAGCAGTGATGACACTAAAGTATCCTTTCTACCTTTCCAGTGAGAGATAAAAGAGTTCACAAACACCTTGGTGTATGACCTTTCTGGTTTTTGTTTTTCAATATTATTTTCCTGGAAATGATAGGAGAACTCTTCCTTTGATACAAACACAAATCTCAGTCAGCCCACCTAAACATGCAAGCACACCCCCATATAAAAAAGGAGGCCTGATATCTAACTCTTCGAAATGTACATATTGGGTGAGGCACCATGGCTCACACCTGTAATCCCAGAACTTTGGGAAGCCAAGGTGGGTGGATCACTTGGAGGCCAGGAGTTTGAGACCATCCTGGCCAACATGGAGAAACCCCATCTCTACTAAAAATACAGAAGTTAGCCAGGTATGCTCGCGGGTTCCTTTAATCCCAGCTACCCAGGAGGCTGAGGCAGGAGAATCGCTTGAACTTTGGAGGAGGCGGAGGTTGCAGTGAGGCAAAATCACACCACTGCACTCCAGCCTGGTTGTTAGAGACCCTGTGTCAAAAAATAAATAAAATGTACATAATGAACTAAAAGTAAAAGAGGGGTATGAGTTTCCTGTAACACATAAATGTTTACTCTGACTCCTTCTAAGCAAATATTGTAAAGGGGTATCATGTCCAGGATAAAGAAGTTGGGTGAAGTCCAGGGATGGAACTGAACAAAGCTAAAGGATGATTTTAGGAAAGTAAAAATATGAAAAAGAAAAGCAGACACAGCTCATGAAAACAGTTTAGAAGTAGTCCAAGAGAAAAAAAGAAAGCAGAATAACAAATATACTTTTCATCCAGGAGTAGAAAAGGGCCTGGGAGCAGAGCTTATCTCCTAGAATAGGTTCAAGTGAGAGAAGAAACCGAAAACCACTTATTCTTCCAAAGACTATGCTGGGACAAGAGGATAGAAAGATGGTAGGAAGAGAGGGATGGAGGGAAAGAGAAAAGGGAAAAGGAGGGGAAGGAAGGAAAGGAAGGAGGAAGGTTAAAAATTCGGAGGCATTATTTTTCTATAAATCTATTTTCATCCATCTGTCCATCCAACCAACCAATCAATTTAAGCAACATCATTTTTTATTCTACGGTGAATAATCTGCCATTCATGTTCCATTTTTCTTACAACATCAAACGCCACCTCAATGTTTTTACCTCATTATTCATACAAACTGCGTAATCAAAATGCAGAAACAAAACTTTTATGTACCAGAAAATGTACACTTTAAATTATGTGAATACAGCAAACCTCTATGAAACTCAATACCTATGAAAAGGGAAAGACTTACTTATTTTTCAGTTCTGAAGTAGCATCCATGTCTTTAAACTCCCCTGCAATATGAACTATGCCGTAACAGGTAACTGCAAAGGCCAGAAGTGTCTGAAGAACTATCTGTGAGTATAAAGATTGAGATTACTAAATAACACAAATATTATTTTAAACATTTACAATTTTCTCTCCATCTCTTTATCACCTCTAACAGGTAGTCCTCTCAGGGCCACTATCAGGGAGACAATGCTTGCTTGAAATCACTGCGATTCAGATGCAATACAATCTAAAAATTCTGTGACTTGGTTGCCAAAATACTTCTGATGCTTCAATAAATAAACCTAGTGACATGTTCAAATAAGCAAAATCACTGAGTACCGAATGGTACTAAGCCACTCAGAACTCAATGATCAAATATTACCTGCTTCCAAGAGCAACAAAGAATTTTTAAGGTATTATTGGTAAATATCATAGAGTACAGAAAGCATATGTGCACAGTATAAAGCAATTAAAAGACCACGTACCCACCACCCAGCTGAACAGAACATTCCTAGTACCTTTCAAGTCCCATGTCCCTCTCAGACTGTATACTTCACCATCCCTCTCAAAGTTAACTATTGTCCTGAATTGTATATTACTGTTTCTTGCTTTTCTTGATAATTTTACCAGCTATTAAATATATACGAATCTCTAAAACATATATTCATTACTTTTGCCCATACTGAACTTTATTTAAATGAACTCAAATGTATTCTTTTGTGTCTAGCTTTCCTCACTCAACATTACGTTTGTGAGATGCATCCGTGGTATAGTACGTAGTTGTAGTCAGTACATTTTCATTGTGTGGTTTGTTTTTTTTTTTCTTTTTTTGAGACAGAGTCTCACTCTGTCATCCAGGCTAGAGTGCAATGGCTTGGACTCAACTCACTGCAACCTCTGCCCCCCAGGTTCAAGCAGTTCTCCGGCCTCAGCCTCCCAAGTAGCTGGGATTACAGGCACGTGCCACCACATCTGGCTAATTTTTGTATTTTTAGTAGAGACGAGGTTTCACCATGTTGGCCAGGCTGGTCTCAAACTCCTGACCTCCGGTGATCTGCCCACCTCGGCCTCCCAAAGTGCTGAGATTACAGGCGTGAGCCACCCGTGCTGGGCCAATTTTCACTGTGCTTTGTATTTCATTATATCAAAATGCCACACTTTATCCATTCTGCTGTTGTTAAGATATGTGGGTTGTTTCCTGTTACTTTCACAATCAACACAAATACTTATATGCATGTCTCTCAGTTCATATGTGCAAACACTGAGTGTAGACTATGCACATGTTCAATTTTACTGGGCAATACCAAATGCCTTTCCAAAGTGGCTGAGCAAGCAAAAATGCTGAATGTTTCATTTTAACCAATATGGGATTATGGGCATGTTCAGATTACAGAAAAAAGTTCTTTAGGCCGGGCGTGGTGGCTCAGTCTTGTGAACCCAGCACTTTGGGAGGCCGAGGAGGGCAGATCAGGAGGTCAGGAGATTGAGACCATCATGGCTAACATGGTGAAAACCCACCTCTACTTAAAAAATATATATACAGCTGGGTGCGGTGGCTCACGCCTGTAATCCCAGCACTTTGGGAGGCAGAGGCGGGTGGATCATGAGGTCAAGAGATCGAGACCATCCTGGTCAACATGGTGAAACCCCGTCTCTACTAAAAATACAAAAAATTAGCTGGGCATGGTGGCACGTGCCTGTAATCTCAGCTACTCAGGAGGCTGAGGCAGGAGAATTGCCTGAACCCAGGAGGCAGAGGTTGCGGTGAGCCGAGATCGCACCACTGCACTCCAGCCTGGGTAACAAGAGCAAAACTCCGTCTCAAAAAAAAAAAAAAAAAAGAAAAAAGAAAAAAATACATATATATGAATATATATATGAATATATATATATGAATATATATATGAATATATATATGAATATATATATATATATATATATATATATATATATATATATATAATTAGCCAGGTATGGTGGCAGGCACCTGTAATCCCAGCTACTCGGGATGCTAAGGCAGGAGAATTCCTTGAACCCGGGAGGCGGAGGTTGCAGTGAGCCAAGGTTGCACCACTGCACTCCAGCCTAGGCGACAGAGTGAGATTTAGCCTCAGGGGAAAATTCTTTAAAACAGAAATAAGAATGAGTGAGTGAGTGTTAGTGAGTGTGACTGTGTGAGTGTGTGTGTGTGCGCGTGCGTGTGTGTGTCCATCACAAAAAAAAGGGTGACAGGAGGCGTTAACAGCCTCATCAACCACATCTTTAATTATAGACAAAGTCAAAATTAGCCACAATCTATTTTCCTGTTTAAATTAAAACCTAACATTATATATCATACCATTTTACATTCCCACCACCAGTCTACCAAGAAGACTTGTATTATACAATGCAATCAAAGGTACTTTTAACAAAACTCTATATGAGCTGTCATGAAAATAAGATTGAAGCTGCTAATAAGTTAACTATAAAACTATACATATATACACATATAACTTTTTTTTTTTTTTGAGACAGTCTCGCTCTATGTCCTAGTCTGCAGTGCAGTGGCACGATCTTGGCTCACTGCAACCCCCAACTCCTGGGTTCAAATGATTTTTCTGCCTCAGCCTCCTGAGTAGCTGGGGCTACAGGTGCGTGCCACCATGCACAGCTAATTTTTGTTAATAGTGACAGGGTTTCACCATGTTGGCCAGGATAGTCTCAATCTTTTGACCTCATGATCCGCCTGCCTTGGCCTCCCAAAGTGCTGTGATTACAGGCATGAGCCACCGTGCCCGGCCTACATGTATAACTTTTTAAAGAAAAAAGTGTTTGTACTAAGTAAAACTACACATACATAATGTTGTTTGTGCATAGGAAGAAGACCAAACTACTACTGTACTCCAAACTGTTGGGGATCCAAGTGGAACTGTCAAGGAATGAGGCCAGTTTTCTTTTGTTGTTGCTGTTTTTATAATTGTATAGGGTCAGTTTTAATTTTTACTGTTTGATTTTGTTAAAAGAACTTAATATTTGTATAATTTCAAATCTAGTAAAGATAAAAATTGTGAGTGATGCTGGACTATTTATCATTTTTGTCTAAAAAAAGTACTTTCCTGGCAGGGTGTGGTGGCTCACACCTGTAATCCCAGCACTTTGGAAGGTTGGGGTGGGTGGATCACCTGAGGTCAGGAGTTCAAGACCAGCCTGGCCAACATGGGGAAACCCTGTCTCTACTAAAAAAATACAAAATATTAGCCAGGAGTGGTGGCAGGCACCGGTAATCCCAGCTACTTGGGAGGCTGAGGCAGGAGAATTGCTTGAACTTGGGAGGCAGAGGTTGCAGTGAGCCCAGATCACGCCACTGCACTCCAGCCTGGGCAACAAGAGCAAAACACCGTCTCAAAAAAATGCAAAACACAAAAAACAAAAAACACTTTTTTTCTTTCATTTTACTACCTATGCATGTCCCTAAACAATGTATTCTTGGCTTTATTTCCTTTACATAAAAAGGAACTTTTCTCAGAAATAAAGCCAAATCATCAACTTTTTAAGTCCATCCCATACTATGGACAGAGCAACTTCTAGAAAGACTATTTTAACTATAGTTTTAGAAACCAAACAGAGAAATCTTTTAAGGTTTCCAAATATTTGAGCTTTATAATGAGTGATGAAAAGTGGAGATCAGATGTTATTTTACGTCTGGAAAACTTTAAGAGACTAAAAACCAGTAATACAATTATAATAAGCTATGTGTCTAATTTTAAACATACATGTAATGGAATATAAATGACCAACTTACATCTATTGGCAGTGATTCATCTTCCTTTTCTGTTAGTCGCATATAAGAACGATCTATAAACCAGAAGCATACCATTAAGGAAATTGTAGCTCATTTTTCTTTCTTAAAATGCAAGCAAATCAATATACCAAAGAAGTGGCTGACTTACATGCTACATAAAGTAATGCTAATCCCGGATTCCTCAAAACCTCCTATCTTCCAAGGCAGTCAGCCCTATCTTACTGAACTATTTGATTTTCATCATCACTACCTGCTTTGTCACCTTATAAAATGGGTCAGAGTGACAGGTGAGCAAGTATGAGGCAGAAATACCTTAGTATAATTTTCCTTTCATTATTCTAGAAACTTCTCAAACTGTTACTTTCACTAACTCATCAAAGAAATCACAATTATTTAAAAGGTAAAGTCTACAGAAAATTTCAACTCTGAAACAGCACCATCACCACACAGTATGGATAAAATACTGTTATAGAAATGGTTCTCCTGAGAGGATACGCTGGGGCAGTGGTTGACAGGAATTCCATGAAATCAGTTTCTGCCTCTACCAGTTAATTATAATTCTGCTGCTGCTGCCTAACCTCAGGAGGCAGCAAAGAATAAAAGAATCGGGATTTGGAAACTGGTAAGCCTAAATCAGTGCCAGCTCTTCAATTTCCTATAATCTCATTTAATTAAAGAAGCTCTCAATGAGCATAATACATATCTCAAGTTCAGAGTGTTAAAATGGGGGGTGTCTTTAAAATCAAAGAAATACAGTACCTACTTTTTCATTACCTGAATTTCCACAACAGTAAAATGAGAATAATGTGAGGTGAGGATTAAACAAGATACAGTAAATAACTGGTGCCCTACTAGAACAAAGTTCATTACAGCAAAGATGAGCATGTCGCAGCGCCACACTGTGCTGTCTGCTGCCACAATCTGACATGACACACTTAGTCTTAAATGTATATATTACTCTCTCTCTAACATAAGCATGTATAATGGTCTTTATACATGAGCATGTATAAAGAGGTCTCACTGCAGTGGCAAATCCACAAGGCATTCTCATCACCCAAAACATAAAATACAAAAATCTTAATTCTAGATGAACCTAGGACAATCCCTATGTAATAACTTACTTTGGACTAAATAACTCAAATTGGTTTTGAGTGCATATGTATTGACTCTTAAAAGAGAATGTGTTTAGAGACATTTCTTAAGTTTTAACCTACAGGTTTGTCATAAAGACAAGAGTAAAAGAAACATCAAACCAATACCAAAGTAGATTTTGACTAATCTCCTATCTGGTTCAATTCCCAGCTAGATTGCATGAAGGCTCGCCTGATTCTAACACTACATTCAACCAGGAATTTCTTCATCCGTAAAATTAAGGGGTTGGAATTCAGTGAACTCCAAGAACGCTTCTCGCCCTACAATTATATAATTCTACAGCTAAAGCTTAGTGTAGAAAATGACAGAGTGCTCCAGTGTATCTTAATCTCCTCTAGGACAGTGTTTCTCAAACTAATGTGCATACAAATCACCTGGGGATCGTATTAAAACCAAGATTCTGATTGAACAGATCTGGCCTGAGCGTCTTCTAACTACCTGCCAGGTGGTGCTCATGATGCTGGTCTGTTGACCATACTTTAAGCAGCAAGGATCTAGGATACTTTCTTTCCTTAACCTCCCAGTTCCCCCCCCCCCAACAAAATGACTGTCCCTGCTTCCATGCATCCTTATATACTTTTAGCATACCACTTCATTGTAATTACTTCTTGATACACTTGTTTTCCTCTAGACTTTGAACTGGCTCAGGGCATCGCTGTATCTCTAAGCACCTAAGCACAGTGCAATTTCAACCAACGACCCAAAACTGAAGTTCATAACTCAGTGTAGCACAAATCTTTTGCCCAAGGTCACACAGATTTAGCGGTAATGCAAGTTTTCTAACAACCAGCCCTTCAGACTCCCAGTCCAGTGCTCTTTCTCCTGTACCACAGTGCCTCCCTGAGGCAATCGGTCACTTAACTACTCAGTCTTTGCCTGGACAGTCCAAGAGTGCCCAAGATTATTGTCCACTTTGTTGTCAGGGGACCATGAGCATCCAGAGTCCTCAATCCCACAACTGTGCCTAATCTGCCCCGTACTGGATCTGTCATCACTTGTCCTGGATTCCTGGAGACCCATTTTGAACCCTCCCAGACACCTCCTTCCAACTTTCCTGCAATTCCAGGCGCCACACTCTCCTCAAATTCAAACTCCAAACCTTCCACTGGTGACTCCTGCATTGATTTTCTTAGTCATTCCAAACTGTAAGGTCTCAAAGGACCATTAACCGGACATTCGCTCTGATGGTCCCTTAGAAGTGCGCCCACACACCGCCCCTAAGGTCCCACACCGGAGCGGTCCCCGTGCCCAAGGCACTTACGCTGCGCAGCGGAAAAGGCGGCGTGGGCTAGGGCAAAGAGACCGATGCCTACCAGCCCCTTCCAAAGCGACGGCGCCATAATGCCGAAGAAGCAGCAGCCCAGCAAAAGAAACGAAGGGTGGCGAAGCTGTTTCTTCTTCCACCTGCGGGTGTCCGCGCGCCGCAGAAAGATGACGTCACTGAAGTCCTGAGCGCCAAGTGTCTAAGTGGTGGAAAAGCCAGAGGGTCGTGAAAAAGCGGAAACAGGCATGCCGGGAAGAAGGAGAAAGCTACACGGAAAAAGGTCCGCGAGAACCCACGAACCTGCGCTACGGAGGCCTCTCTGGGAGGGGCGGGGCTCAACGGAGTCGTAAACGAAGACGCAAAAGCAGGAGCAATGCGGAAGCGAAGAGGAAGGACGCCGGCTAATCAGCGCGGGCCGCGACAGCGGGGCGGGGCCCGTGGCGAAAATAGGGTGGGGAAGAGGGGCGGGGGTCTGCGTAGAGAATGGGTGGGGCCGAGCGGCGGGGTGGGGAATAGGAGCGGGGCCTGCGACAGGTGGGTGTAGCCGAGAGGCGGGGCCTGGGATTGGTGGGTGTATCCAAGGGGGCAGGGTTTGGTGGGTGTGGCAGAGGGGCGGGGCCTTCGGGGAGGAGGTGGGGCGGAGGGGCGGGGCCTTCGTGGAGGAGGTGGGGCGGAGGGGCGGGGCCTTCGGGGAGGAGGTGGGGCGGACGGGCGGAGGGGCAGGGAGGAGGTGGGACCGAGGGGCGGGGCTGGGGTGGTGGAGAAAGGCAGTAGGTGCAGAATACAGACCCTGGACAGTTGTGTTTTGTGGGTTGGTTGGTTTGGGTTTTTCTTCAAACTGTGCCTTTTGTTTTCTGTAGGCCTTTCCTGTGCTTCTGCTCTGTGGGAACTGGCACTGCAGAAGGAGGCAAATGTGTTAAAACGAGAAGGCAGTTGGAGGGTCAAGGACAAAAACCCAGGATTTGGAGCCCCAAGTACTTGGCCAGCCGGAAGTGCTCAGTAAACCCTTTTAAGATCCTGGAGAAAGATTCAAGCAAAAAGAGGTGTGTAGGGTGGTGGGAGTGTTTTGTCATGAAAAGAACCAGCTTACATTAAGGAAGAAATGAAAGAGGAAATTTTAAAATGCTAATAACACAGTCTTGTCTTGTGGGTAAAATGTATACTCCTCTGCCCATTTTTCTTTGTTTTCATCTCCTAAAATGTAGACATTTAACAGTGAGCTTCTCCCCTTGACCTCATCACTCTGCTCTCCCCGGGCGAGCTCGCCCATTCATTCCCACCGCTTCAGCTGGTGTAGATATTTCAGTGATTCCAAATCGACATCTCTATCACAAATCTCTCTCCTTAGCTCCATGGCTGCATTTCTGACTACCTGCTAGGCGTTTATTTCCTGTGACATTTCAAACGTAATATGGCCAAAATGGAATTCATCCTTTTTTCCCCAAATTCTGCACCAGTTCCTCCAGTGACCCCTGACTGAGTGGCAAAGTTTTGTAAACTGCATATCACAAAGCAAATGCAAAGTATGATCACCATTCTTTTCCTTTAACGCAATCAGAATTCTGTGTTTTAGTCGCATCAATTTGCTTTTGCTCTAAGATGCCTCCTATCCCGACCACCTCTTTTAAATGTCCAAAATTCCCATTCCTGATCCCCTTACTCTGTTCTACTTTTTATATCACCTTCTAACATACTATACAATTTACCTATTTATTATGTTTGCTGTGTTACTGTTTACTGTCTGTCTTTTCCCACTGGAATGTAAGCTCTGAGAGGACAGAGATGTCTCTGTACCTAAAAGTTTAACTGTCATGTGGTGGGCATTCAATAAATGCTTGTTGAATGACAAATGAATGGATTACGGAAAAGAAGTGGGAGGGTATCCCTATTTGAAAAGATCTCTACAGAGAGTCCTTTCAATATTTTGAATTGGGCCCAAAAATCCCTATGGACTTGCATATACTGTCACATTTTGACAACCTTTTGATTGTAAACATTTTCTGATATGCTTGAGCTTCCTCAAAGCTGGAGGAAACAAATAAAGAAAACATCTCATTGGCTGGGCATAGTAGCACATGCTTGAAGTCCTAGCTGGTCCTAGCTACTCGGGAAGCTACAGAAGGAGGATTGCTTGATCCCAGGAGTTCAAGGCTGCAGTGAGCCATGATTATGCCACTACACGACAGCCTGAGTGACAGAGCGAGACCCTTTCTCTAACCAAAAAAAAGTAGAAGAAGACGTCTAAGATTCATCATATTTCCTCAACTTTACTTATATAATTTTTCTTCTAGATCTCATTTTCCAAACCTTTAGTCATAGTCATTATTTTTTCTGGGCCTTCTCCAATTTCTTCACCTCAAAGCCAAAATTTCACACAGTACTTGATCAATGTCAAGTGCCATGTAATGTATTCCTTACAAATGTAGTTTTGTTTATAAACTTCACAATCAGGAAGAACCAGGAGATAATCTCTCTGTAGTTGACAGGAAAGTGCTTCCTTCTCCACCCCTGGGAGCTAATAAGATAGAAAAGATAGTTGACCAAAAAAAATCTTAAAACTTTGTTTTAGCTAAGGTAATGGTCAAATTAAAATTAGCCTTTTCAGATTCCCTGTTAAATTACCCCTTCTTTGAGACCAGCCTGGCCATCATAGTGAAACCCCATTCTACTAAAAATACAAAAAAAAAAAAAAAATTAGCCGGGCGTGGTGGTGGGTGCCTGTAATTCCAGCTACTCGGGAGGCTGAGGCAGGAGAATTGCTTGAACCCAGGAGGCAGAGGTTGCCGTGAGCCAAGATCGCGCCATTGCACTCCAGCCTGGGCAACAAGAGTGAAACTCCCATCTCAAAAAAAAAAAAAAAGAAAATTACCCCTTCTAATATCAATTTATCTGAAGCAGAAAATGATTAAGAATTTTCTTATAGGACCTGAGATCTGGTTATTTTCCTTTAAAAGGATGAGTTTATAGGAAAAAAGAGAAATTCAATAATGAATCTGGTATTTGTATAAACCACCAATGCATTATCCTAGTCTTCAGGGACGTCACCCATGTCCAGATATTGAGTTTTGTTTTCTCTCTTGCCCTCTTAAGATGCATTTCTCACTCTTTTCTTTTTTACCTCTTTACCCATTATAGTGAGTCCAAGAGAAACTAGCCTAGTTTCACATTTTCTGGTAATACACGATTAAATTATGTTCAGGGACTGAGATTTTAATTGTCTTTTCTGTAGTTTCCAACCTGAAAGGAAGCCAAGGTATTCATACTCACAGTTACCAAGGACTGTATCATTCAAATAAGTACCCTGGGTCCACTCACATACAGTACTGTAAATTGCAGTTAATCCCAAATATGCAAGGTACAGCTAGTGGTAGCACTGTTTTCATGAGCTCCTAGAACAAAAGTCAAACCTCATGAGAAAGCGCATTTAAATTTCTAAGTGACCCCAGAAGTGCTGTTTGTTTTTCCAAAGCAAGAGCTATTTTCCATATGCACCTTGAATAAATGATGTGGATGTTATTAAAGGTGGGGATAATGGTCTTTAAAGCATTTCCTACTGAGGTGTTATTTGTGAAGACTCATCACATTTCCCAGGCTAGTTCACTGAATAGAGAAAGCATGGTGAAACCCCGTCTCTACTAAAAATACAAAAAATTAGCTGGGCATGGTGGCGCGTGCCTGTAATCCCAGCTACTCAGGAGGCTGAGGCAGGAGAATTGCTTGAACCCAGGAGGCGGAGGTTGCGGTGAGCCGAGATCGTGCCATTGCACTCCAGCCTGGGTAATAAGAGCAAAACTCCGTCTCAAAAAAAAAAAAAAAAAGAGAAAGCACTGCTATCCCAGACTTGTCTTGACTTTGTTACATGCCACTGAACTCCATGAATATCTTCACACACCACTTATCCACATCTCCATTACCCATGCAGATTCTCCATCTATCTGGCACACTCTGTCCTTTCCTACCTTGTTCAAAATTCCACTTGCTCTAGGAATATGCTCCTGACTATTATAGATATTTATAAAAGGTACATATCTAGTGGAGGCACAAAACCTTTCTTCAAGCTATTTATATTTTGTTCAACCTCTCTGGGTAACACATTCTAGAAGTTTACTGCCTGCTGAGTAAACTAGTACTTTCAATATTGAAATCGCATCTTGTTTACTTTTTTTTTTTCTTTACCAAAGTGGTATGAGCTCATTGTAAGAAATTCAAACAAACAAAAGTAATTATCTTGAAGCATTGAGTGTACCTTGGTATTTTAAGTTTTGAATCTTAGTAAACAGAACTGTGGTTTGTGGGTAACAACCCCCAGGGACACTGAGGAAGGAGAACTGTGCAGACCCCAGGCACAGTTAGTGCCTGAAGCATAACTCACTGCTTACTGTATCTAGCTTGTATGTATAATCATACTTAGTCCCATATAATCTTTCTATATAATCCTATAGGTATTGTAGTCGGAGCTGTACTGACACATTTAATGCTGATTTATATAATCCTTCCATATAACCATATAGTAGTTTGTAGTAGGAGGAATGCCTAGAACAGTCACAGAACAGAAGCAGTACATGGGAAAACAGCCAGACCAGGGTGAGAACCAAAGATCCAGGCATTGGCGTCCCTGCCTGAAAGGGCATACACCGTATGGCAGGCTTGGAACAAGAGCCTCTCCTCCTGATAAAGGAGTTGTAGTATCTTGCATCCAGTTTCTGTGGAAAGTAGGCCTCAGGCCTGAGATCCTGCAAATAATGGAGGGAGAAGAACCCCTCTGGTGTGACCAATCACAGCTGCTGTACACCCTGTCAGTCTTTTCTTGCTTCTGTGCTAGCTCAAATCATCCTCCCATAAATATCTTAAGAGAAGAGCACAAGTCTGTTGGCTCCCACTGCATTGGCTTACAGTATCCTACTATTAGAAATCCTTTGAAGTCTCCAGCCCCCAGATAAGAAGTGTTGCGCATGACACCTGTTGCACACAGCCCACCTCCTTGCCTCGGTGACCTAATGGGGGTGGACCCCTTTTCTGTACATGACCCTCTACTATTGCGCACGGCACAGCCCTCTACTGCACCTGGCCCACCTCTCTGCCCAGGTGACATAATGGGGTGGCCCCCTTGCTTGTGACTCACGTGATTATATATGCCCTATCACTAAGGCTATAGATGATGACCTCACTTACAACCCTGCCCCCTGCTTGTACCCAACAAATACAGACACTTCTGGGCATTCAGGGCCTCGCCTGTCTCAGCTCATAGGTGGTGTGGCCCCCGAGTCCGGATGCTCTTCACCAGTTCTTCAGTGTCCTGTCTCTTTACTTCTCAGACCCTGCAACTCAGCACAGCATAAGGGACAACCGACGACCCTGTGGGGCCAACAGCCCTACAGT